CTTAACACTTTTCATTTTTTCAGCTGCTTTAAAATGTCTTATTTTAGCACCAGAAAGAAAGTATTCTCAGATTTTGTGATGTGAACCTGGGCAATATTCTTTAAAGGGAAGCACCAGTGGTTTAAAAATTCCTCCATAATTGAGAGATTCTTAGTGGTTTGGTGTGAAATGGTTCAGATGTCTTTACAGTGGTGGTGATGGGAACCAGGGGTTGCCATGACTACAACACAAATATAGACATTTTATTTACTATCCAGAACCACCAGTGAACCTCCACACTTAAAAAAGATGGTTCTTTAAGTGTTCTTTATTAAAGTCCACTGTTCTATATAGAACCATAAACACTCAAGGACCCCTTTGTGTGATTACAGTGTTCTTTGCATCATGAAACGTTCTTTAGCTTGATGGAGAGTGTTTTATTTGGTTCTATATAGAACCTTTTTGAAAAGGGTTCTATATAGCACTAAAAAAGGGTTCTTCTATTGTTACAGGCTTGACATCGTAACAGTAGAAGAACTTTTTGGTGCTATATAGAACCCTTCTCAAAAAGGTAGAAAAGAACCATGAACACTCAAAGAACCCTTTGTGTGATTACAGGGTTCTTTGCATCGTGAAAGGTTCTTTAGATTGATGGACAGTGTGTTTTATTTGGGTCTATATAGAACCTTTTTAAAAAAGGTTCTATATAGCACTAAAAAGGTTCTTCTATTGTTACAGGCTTGACATCACAACAATAGAAGAACCCTTTTGGTGCTATATAGAACTCTTTTCAACACGTTTCTATAGAAACCCATCAACATTACATTATCAAAAAGGAACACTTTAACAATGTAAAGAACGCTGTAATCACGCAAAGGCTTCTTTGAGTGTTCATTGTTCTATAAAGAATTGTTCCCTTTACTAAAGAACCATTGAAGAACCAACATTTTTAAGAGTGTATCAAGTTAGCAAATTTGTCTGGCCCACTTGTGGGCTACGTATTTGGGTTTGTTCTGGCCCAGTGTACAGCAGGGTCCTTGGCCCAGATCTGGCCCAGACACTGTAAAGTGAGTAGAACTAATGGATGTGGCCCAAATCTGGCCCAATACATCATTGGTCCACAATATTCGTGCCAGAATTGGACCACAGATTTAGACACAGGGCAAAACCTTATGAACCTGTCTGGCATCTGGCCCTATTCCGGACGGTATGCCGAGCGACCTTTAGTCAACCAGCACTCACGTAGCAAAGAATTGGCCCAAAACTGTCTGCTATCTGGGTCCACATGTCTTCTGAGTTTTTATATGAAATATATAATTGATGAAGGTAAAATAATGGAAAATCTGAAAATAATACGTTTTGTAGAGGTGGACGTCTGTGAACAATTCTGACTCTGTAAGTTTATCTAGAACAGAGCGTTTCACACCAAACTACTCTGAACCTCTCTGTTTACATCTTAACCATTTAATTATGCAGAAACTTTGAAACATCAGTGGAGTTGCCCTTTAATGTTCTGAAAATATGTAACCTTTAAAATAATTCATCATTCTTTTGTCAGGCCTGAAAGGCAGGGTTTTAGGGGGTCCAGTAGGGGGGGTGTAAGTGGGTCAGTGTGTGGGCCATTTGAGGATATCCCAGAGGGAAGTTTAAAATAAATAAATAATACCCAAGTGAGAGTGAGAGCCTGCGGGAGCAGCACGGCTCAGTGAGCGGCCGAGTTTGAGTTTTGCACATGAGCAGTTTTTTTCACTTTTTCGGTCTGCCGGCCGTCCCACTTCTCCTCCCTCTCCCTCTCTCTCTCTTTGGGCAATCTCCCTCCATCGCCATAGATCATCATCTCAATTACTCGTCCAGCTCTCTGTCTATCCCCATCTATCTGTCTATCCCTTCATCCTGTCCTCCTCTCCCTAAAAGAAAGCCTCTGACCGTCTGAGCTGTCCGTCATTCTGAGAGTGTCTCGGTGTTACATGTAGGTCAGAGCTCTGTTCTGTTTTAGTTACAGTGTTTTTCCAAAAAAACCCCAGAAAATAATAGTAAAATAATAATAATAAATATAGGCGCAAACAGCAATTCAGGGGTCCAAGCACTCATTAGCTTAATTAGGCCCTATGCAGTTTGTTCCAGTGAGGCCTAATTCAGTTTGGGCCTTATTCAAATAAAATCAAATCACGTTTATTGTTACATCACATTTACACAGAGTAAAGGTGAGTGAAAATCTTAGGTGTGTAGCCCCCTTGTAGAACTTAAATATGCAAAAATATGTAAGAAACAAAATACATATATATATATACAGATCAGGCATAACATTATGACCACCTCCTTGTTTCTACGCTCATTGTCCATTTTATCAGCTCCACGGACCCCCATGGACCCTCACAGAGCAGGTACTATTTGGGTGATGGGTCATTCTCAGCACCGCAGTAACACTGATGTGGTGGTGGTGTGTTAGTGTGTGTTGTGCTGGTTTGAGTGGATCAGACACAGCAGTGCTGCTGGAGTTTTTAAACACTGTGTCCACTCACTGTCCACTCTATTAGACACTCCTACCTTGTCAGTCCACCTTGTAGATGTGAAGTCAGAGACGATAGCTCATCTGCTGCTGCACAGTTTGTGTTGGTCATCCTCTAGTACTTCATCAGTGGTCACAGGACGCTGCCCACAGGACGCTGTTGTCTGGATATTTTTGGTTGGTGGACTATTCTCAGTCCAGCAGTGACACTGAGGTGTCTAAAAACTCCAGCAGCACTGCTGTGTCTGATCCACTCAAACCAGCACAACACACACTAACACACCACCACCACGTCACTGTTACTGCAGTGCTGAGAATGACCCACCACCCAAATAGTACCTGCTCTGTGAGGGTCCATGGGTGTCCTGACCACTGAAGAACAGGGTAAAAGGGGGCTAACAAAGTATCAGAGAAACAGATGGACTACAGTCTGTAACTGTAGAACTACAAAGTGCACCTATATAGTAAGTGGAGCTGATAAAATGGACAATGAGCGTAGAAACAAGGAGGTGGTCAGAATGTTATGCCTGACCGGTGTACACAGTATACACAGTAGTATACACCAGTGTTGCACCATTCCAATATATAGTTTTTGTACGGTAATATAAGTTGTAATATAAAAAGCTGTGATATGAACCGTCTCACTCTTGTCTCTTTGTATCTTTTTCTTTCCCTCTCTTCTCTCTTTCCCTTCTCTTTCTCCTTCTCTTTCTTCTCTCTTCTCTTTCTCTACCTCTTTCCCTTTCTTACTCTCTTTTCTTTCCCTTTTCTCTCTCTTCTCTCTCCCACTCACCCCTTTTTACTGTCTCTTTCTTCTTTCCCCATTCCCTTCCTTTCTTTACTTTTCTCTTTCTGTCTCTCACGCCTTTCTATCTTTCTTCTCTCTCTCTCTTGCTCTTTCTTCTCTCTCTCTGAGTCACTCTTCAGCACCTTCTGTTTCTACACCTCCACTAACACCCCTGCAGCTCCACAGAGCGAGCGAGTGAGCGAGAGAAAGAGAGAGAGAGAGAGATGAAGAAAGTAAGAGAGGCAGAAGGATCAGTGAAGGAGAGAGAGAGATGATGATGATGAAGAGAGAGAGAGAGGGAGTGTGTAAGTGTTGATGGTGGAGAGAGAGTGTCTGTCTGTAGGTGATGAGTGAGTGTACTCCTCCACTCCTCCCTCTGCTGTGTGAGTAATAGAGAACCCGCTCACAGGTTCTGGACTCTGGGCTCGCTGTGTTCTGCATGTTTATCTCCCTGCTCTGTGTGCTGTTTAAAAAGCACTCAGGTTTGCAGGTGGGCGGGTCTTCAGGGAGGAGGATTGTTTAGTGGCTATTTGGAAGGCAGCCCACCGTGAGCAATAGACCACCAGAGTTGTGTCGATATTCCGTAGTCGGCCTCATGTCCGTATTAGGAACTCCGGGTCTGAGCTGGATTTCTCAGAGGCAGAGATGAACGGGACTCTCTGTGGAGAACTAAAAGGTTCTAATCCTGATACGTTCTGTCCTGTACGTTCTCCCTCTGAGTGCGTGAGTGTGGTGGTCAGTGTGAGGGGTCAGTGTTCCTGCGGCGACGGTGACGGAGGGTGTGAATATTTAGTGTTGACTGTGAAGTATGACTGTGAGCTATACTGTCCTCTGATTTATTATGTAATATGAATCTGTCTATCTATCTATCTATCTATCTATCTATCTATCTATCTGTCTGTCTGTCAGTCTGTCTGTCCATCTGTCTATCTATCTGCCTGTGTGTCTATCTATTTGTCTGTCTGTCTATTTGTCTGTCAATCTATCTGTCTGTCTGTCTATTTATCTGTTTGTCTGTCTACCTATCTGTCTATCTATCTGTCTATCTGCCTGTCTGTCTGTCTATCTGTCTGTCTCTCTGCCTGCCTGTCTGTCTATCTATCTATCTGTCTGTCTGTCTGTCTGTCTATCTATCTGCCCTGTCTGTCTGTCTATCTATCTGTCTATCTCCCTGTCTGTCTGTCTATCTATCTATCTGCCTGCCTGTCTGTCAGTCTGTGTGTCTGTCTGTCTGTCTATCTACATATCTATCTGCCTGCCTGTCTGTCTATCTGTCTGTCTGTCTGTCTGTCTATCTATCTATCTATCTGTCTGTCTGTCTGTCTGTCTGTCTGTCTATCTATCTATCTATCTGCCTGCCTGTCTGTCTGTCTATCTATCTGTCTGTCTGTCTATCTGTCTGTCTGTCTGTCTGTCTATAGTATGCCATTTCTACATCTTTTGCAGACAGAATTTGTGTCTGATTTGCAGTTGAAACTGGCCCAGAGAGTCAGAAGGCAGTCAGTATGTATTCTGGCTGAGCACCGTTTTACAGGAGGGGAGAACCACCACCCCCCACCCCCCCACCCCCCCCCCAGCACCAGACACAGACACACAGACACACAGACACACACTGAGTTCACTTCTGTTTTTAACTCAACAAGAACAACACGTTTAGAGAAATGCTCTTCATCTCGCTCTCCCTCTCTCTCTCTCTCTCTCTCTCTCTCTCTCTCTGTGTCTCAGCTACCTCGGACGGCACAAAGCAAGGGATAGACAGCATGCGGGGAGGAGTGTGTGTGACGCGAGGGATGAAGGTGGTGCTCAAAGTGGGACAGAGTAAGTACATCGTCCTCACCATCAACACAACAATTATCTGTTCTCTGTAGATGTATATGCACCGCTGTACATGTATAGGGGGTTCTTTCAGCAGAGGTGGGAACAAGTCACTAAGTTACAAGTAACAAGTAAGACTCAAGTCTTGATACTCGAGTCCAGAGTCAGTACAGTCGAGTCCCAAGTCCTGATCTCCGAGTCCTAAACGAGTCAGTCTGCATTCTTCAGCTAATTTAAGGCCGTTTCAGCACTGGACACAAAAAACAATGGTAACAGTAATACAGTCTTTTAGTGACAGCATGTTAGTGGTGTGTGGCTCGTTTGTTTTTTTTTACGCTTCCAAATAAAGTGACAGTTTACTACCTTTATTTCTGAGAGTGTATTAGGGCTGCAGTTTAAGCGCTGAGCGAGGGATTATTGATGTTACGATGCTCCTTATGTTACTACCTTATAGAAGTGAACTTGAACACTTAAACACACACACACTCAGAAATAAAGACTGTCACTGGGGCGGTTCCCCTCTTGTCACTGGGGTAGGACCCTCAAGGGTCCATCTCAGTACCTTTAGTCAGGGAACATAACTGAACCATAATCCACTGAAATGATATGTTCTAAGCTGTACTGACTCCACACACCCCGTCTCGTCTCCAGGCTTTTATTTTACTGTTCTGTTTAAAACATTCGGTTATGAAAAGGTACAAATACGAACTTTTCACCTGGAAAACACTTATTTAAGGTTCACAATCAGACCTTAGAACCACTGTTGGAGCTTTGAGGGAACATTTACGTCGTTTTGTACCTTGATGAACAAAAAATGTACCTGAACAGAACCTTCATTTCAGTAACAGATACATGACGACGTTACTGTATATCAAATTTATAGCATAAAGCGAATCCATTCATATCTTGTCTCATTTGCAGTCAGACTCTCTTTGCATTTCTCCCACTCTGTGTCTCGAGTCTTTCCGAGTCATGAGGCTCAAGTCCAAGTCATTGGCATTCGAGTCAAAGCCGAGTCGCAACTCTTTCTCAGTTTTGTTGAGTCGAGTTTGATCAAATTCATGACTCGAGTCTGACTCGAGTCCAGGTTATATGACTCGAGTCCACAGCTCTTTTTCAGTGTTTGTTGCTGGGAAGAAATGGAAACCAATTTGTGTTTTGTAAGTTCATGTATAGCAAAATGTCAAAGAGAAAGCTTATTCAGATTAAAAACATTTCTAAAAAAATGAGGTTTATGAGTTCCTCACTCTCTGCTGTTTGATCCCGCAGCTGCCTACGGACTTCCCCCCAAACCCAAGCCTGATCCGGCCCGAACCAACACCAGGACTCCAGGTGTGAGACGGGGGACAGAGTTGGGACAAAACACAGCAACTCACACTTCATGCACATAATAGCACAGCTTAACCCCCTTAAAGGCTCTTCATATATCATGATCCTCATATGTTTCATGTCTAAATGCTCCGTTATCTTCATCACTACTTTCCAAAACCTCTTCAGCAGCTTCAGCAGCTGTAAACTCTCTGTACTCCATTTCACATGAGTCTCTGATGTGGACTGAATGAAGAATGAAGGGTTTCCGGCGTGATGGTCAGTCCTTAGTGATTTCCTGAGTGTCCATCGGTCAGTTTCACACAGAATGTAGACGGACACACAAATACAAGGCAGACAAGGCAGACAAGGCAGCCCCTCTTCATAGGCTCATAACTCTGGATGTGAGTCTCGTACGGAAAGGGCGACTCTACAGATTCAGGAAGGGTTTGAACTGGATTTCTGAGCTAGATCATCACAAAGATACAGACACAGATATAGAAACATCGAATTTGATGATGGCGAGTTTATGGACCCCAGAGGGTTAACAGTCACTAGTGAAGCAGAACCTCAGTGTCCTCCCATCCATAAACAGCAAACACTTACTGTAACAAATAGGACGTCCTGCTGCGTTTCCTTGGTTCTCTGATCTGAGTACTGTTGGCTATCAGCCAAAACAGATCCGATCTATTCTTTATGTTTTCATAGATAATACAGGCCACAGCGTCGGCCCTGTAGACGTTCAGTTCCTGGTGCTTTATTGGCAAAACCTGGTTCACAAAAAATCATTTATATGATTTAAATTTAAATGTAAAAATAAGAACCTTAACTATCTAACTTACTAACTAACTACACTCTTACAAATGATGGTTCTTCAAGGGTTCTTTAATAAAGACTGTGGATCTATATAGAACAGTGAACACTCAAAGAAACATTTGCATGCTTAAAGGGTTCTTTGCGTGGTGAAATGGTCTTTCAGATGGATGGAGAACCATATACAACACATTCTCCATCAGTCTGAAGAACCATTCCACCATGCAAAGAAACATTTAGGCATACAAATGGTTCTTTGAGTGTTCATGGTTGTATATAGAACCATATACAACACATTCTCCATCAGTCTGAAGAACCATCTTACCATACAGAGAACCATTTCAGCATGCAGATGGCTCTTTGAATGTTGATGGCTCTATATAGAACCATGTATAATAGTCTCCATCAGTTTGATGAACTACTTTTCCATGCAGAGAACCATTCTATATAGAACCATTCTATATATAGTCTTTACTAAAGGGGAACCTTCCTTTTTAGAAACAAGGAGTGTAGATTTTAATGATTTAACTGCACACATTTACACACTTAACAATGATGGTTCCTCAAAGGTTCTTTAGTAAAGAAAATGGATCTGTGCAGAACCATGAACACTCAAAGAACCCTTTGCATGAATAAATGGTTCTTTGCATTATGAAAGTGTTCTTCAGTGTAACCCTTTGATTTTTACATCTATTACTGTTATACAACTAGACTAAGTAAATGTAATTACACAGTTATTACACAGTCACGTAATTGATTACATTTACATTTGATTCACATTCCATATTAACAGGTTTGAGTTTGCACTTCTCACTTTATTCTGTTTACTTTAACATTAAAAAATGACCAGCCTTGTATAAAGACAGGAGGATCTTTTGATATGATCACATGATGCATTGATTGGTGTTTTGATTGGCTGTTTTCATGAAACTTTTTCCATGAAATCAAGATGCTGAGTTTCAAGTGAGTTGCAATTTAGTTTCATACAGGTTTCAAGCAACTTGAAACAAGTTGCATGAAAGTTTCATCCTACCCTGCAACAAATCTCTCTCTCTCTCTCTGTCTCTGTCTCTCTCATCCAGGTCAGAATGACGAAGGCAGCTCCTCCAAGGATGAGGCAGGTGGGCAGAGCGACGGGGGCACAGTTCCCGCCTCCAACATCGCCCTTATCGCCGGCGGGGCAGGCGGAGCCGCCTTCCTGCTGCTGGTCGGCGTGGTGATCGGGGTGGTGTGTTACTGCCGGAGGAAGGCCAAGCACTCTGAGACGCATCACCCGGCCCTGTCGCTGTCCTCGCTGACCCCGAAACGGGGCAGTGGCACTGGTGTCACGGCCGGCGGCCCCTCCATGGGGGGCAACACTGGTGGCTCTGAGCCCAGTGATATCATCATCCCACTGCGGACTTCAGACTCCGCCTTCTGCCCGCACTACGAAAAAGTCAGCGGGGATTACGGACATCCGGTCTACATCGTCCAGGAAATGCCCCCTCAGAGCCCGGCTAACATCTACTATAAAGTATGAGGAGGGACTGAGACGCGTAGACGCGCACACTGCAGACAAATACATACATCTTGGCAAGTGAAGGAATCTTAAATGTATTAAAATATAACTAATATTTGTCATTTATATCAGATTTTTATAGTTCAGTCCGTTTCTAGACTTTTTTGCTTCAATAAAACGAAAAAATTTTACATAAACATATTTGATGTAGAATGCAAACCAACTCATTTACATAGATCCACCCATTTAGGCTACAGCTGTTTAGCCTTGCCCACTCAAGCTGATACCTGGACTGTTGAAAGAGGCACAGCCAATCAGAGCAGACTCATTTACATATATCAGTATTAAAGGCACAGCCTGTTTAATTCTAAGAAGGAAAAAGAATCAGGAAGGTTTTTGGAATATAAAACAAATGAATTGTGTAATTAAACTTAAATAGTGTATCACACCACACAATGATAGTAATAACTCTAGTTCGCTGACGCTAATGCTAATGCTTTAAGCATTATGATGTCACTATTCCTTTATTCCTTATGAGATAAAATATCTTATTATTTTGGCACAATTATTTCCTGAAGTACAAGAAAATTTTTTTTATCATATTCATTAAAAAAAGTGTTCTGTATAAGATTAACTTGTAAGAACAGCATAGCCATTTTTATTGCTTTGGACCCAATTTTAAAGGTTCTTTAAAGAACCAAAGCAATGTTGCCCACATGGGTTGTGCTTGGGTGCCTTCCCATTTAACAACTTCCAAAATATTTTATATTGTTATGAATAAACGAGGGCACACATTGTGCAACACGAGACGCAATATCAGCTATAGATATTTTAACATTTCTTTGGTTCATTGCCACATATTTGTATGCACATTTAGCACAAAATCACAAGATAACACACAACTTATTTCCTTTTCATTATAAACTGTACATGCAGTATCTGAAGCCAGTTAAGTAAAATGTCTGCTGAGATGAGTAGGTAAAGTATAGTGGGTAGTACTGCTGCCCTCCACGCTGCAGACAGGGGTTCGAGTCCCTGCTCGGGCAGGAATGCCATTCTATACTAATTGAGTCCTTGGCCAGACTCGAACTGTGGCAGAGGTCTTTGAGGTCCTCTTTTGGAAAGTCTGACTATGGAAAGCAGGTCTAATAGGTCTTTTTCTCAGTTAATTAACTGATTTAGTCACCAGCAGGCGGGTTTGGTGGGTCCCATAAGAGGTAAAACCAAATTATGATTCACTTTGCTGGTCATACTTCGGTTGTTGCATAGAAAAGCACATGTAGGCCAGTGTGAACGTTCCTTTGCGTGTTCTCGAACTTGAAAACTCTTCACTAATAAAAACAGCTTAGCTTGGCTAGGCTTGGCTTAGCTTAGCTTGGCTGCTAACAACATTAATTTTGTCTGCGTCTTCAGGGCTGTTACCGACATAAAGTCAAAAATATCTAAAGTTTCTCAGCAGCTTGAGGCGCTCAGTCTGTAAACTTCTTCAGTTTTAAATCAGAGCGATGCAGCTCATGCACTAGATTGGTCAGGTTTGCTACAAAGTCGATCTGGATGAGTATATATTTTATTTAGGGGGTGGAGTCTAATGATATACGCAATGAAAATATAGAAAATATGCATGTATGTCAGAATATTCACTGTTTATTCAGAGAAGCAGTATGAGAAGGCTACAAATTCAATTTTATCTCTCTTATGGGGGGGTCATTTTACTCTTACGGGAGGCCAGGACCCCCCTACACACCCCCTGGATTCGAAACCTGCTCTTAACGCTACAGATAAGCTGTAAACCATGATTAAAGTTCGGTTACTCTCTGGATATGATATGAATATAAATAAGTTTGAACGTCCATGCATATTGGAAAGCTCCTCAGAGGCATATTTCAGACCTATTCAACCATGCGGAGAAACATTTATGCATTCGTATGGTTCTTTAAGTGTTCACAGTACGATATATAACCACTGCCTTCAGTATAGAACCCACGACATCTGCGTTTAAGGTGCTCTCACTTGTCAAGATGTTTTTGCAGTGTCTATCGTAGACAATGAAACCCCAGCCTTCAGCGTTTTCCTGCCTCGGCTCTCCCTCCTCTCCTCGTACAGTCCCTCCACACAGCGCCGTCCTCTCACAAACAGGCTGTGGAGCTCTGTACGCACCCGCAATAGAGACTGGCACTGAAGCCTTCGGACTGTATTTACTTAATGTTTCTTACCAGCTGTAGGAAATGTTTGGATAGAGAGTCGAGTATGTGTATGCGTGCGCGTGTGACTGTTTGTGTTAAAGATTGAAACTGAAGGATGTGTTTGCTCGTCCTAAAAGACCCCACCGCACAAAGCAAGCAGCAAGTCTGGAAAGGTTCGCTTCACAAGAAAGCAAAACAAAACACAAAAAAACTGTATAACTGATTTCAATATTTAATCGGTTTTTAGATCTTTTTTCTTTTTTTACTTTTTGGCCCATTTCAGTTGTCAGTTTTTGTGATAGTTGTCCTGTTTACATTCTGCCTGTTTTGAAAGCGTAGAAGCCCGGATCCCCCAGGCGGGTTTATTTCAGACGCTGTATCAAAGCGTTGCTACTTTTGTTTTGTTTGTTTGGGTTTTTATTCCACATTTTGCCTCTCGCTTACATTCTGTATGTTAAATCTTTCCAACACATTGGAAGAAAGGAATCTACAGAGCGGGGAGGAAACGGATGAGGAGATGAAGGAATGCTCGCTGACTGGTTTATGTGCATGAGGGTCAAAAGGTCATATGTACACTATATGTCCAAAAGTTTGACTCCAGCGTTTCTGGGGATTAACAAGGAATTTGTCCTCCTTTGCTCTTGGAACATTGCTGTGAGGATTTCAGCCACAAGGGCATCAGAACACAGTCTCACAAGTTTGAACATCCCAAATTACAAATGACATGTTCTGATGTCTTAAGTTAACACATCCTCCACAGAGAACATGCTTAAATATGGCATTTCTCTGCCCATTTTAGTGCACAATTTCTATTATTTTCTGAGTATAACCCATTGGAAAAACGCAAAACATAACATGTGCCGTAACTTTTGCACAGGCCACATTTTTGTATGTTAAATTCAGCAAATAAACAGTCAGTGTGCATTAAAATGTGTACAGTGTGTTCTATGCGAGGATGTTTTAACTTACTTTTCACTTAGAAAATCAACATATAAATGTCATTCGATAAGGGGTGCCAAAACTTTTGCATATAGTTGTATTTGCAGTTGTATCACCTAAAGAATTGGGCGTGACTGAGACTGGACCAGAAGAAAAATTCACCCATGTGTTGGTGCGGATAGCATGCCAGCAAAGTCGCTAACCATAAACTGTAATAACTTAAAAATACAAACAAAATACAGAAATAATAAAAATTAAGTACAAATGCAACAGACAACAGAGCTGCACACTCATCTGTAGCAAAAATATGTAGATAACTGCCATGTTTGGCCGATGTTGGGTGACTTGTGTGCGGCTGCAGTTAGCCGTGGAGCTAAAATCGCGGTTAGCAAGCTGGCTAACTCACCAACTGTAATCAGTAAGAACACAGAAGTGAACATAGTTATTTCAGATAACTATAAACTCGCCACAGCACAGTGCTGCACACTGATCTGCAGCAAAAACTATACATATCTTGCATGGTTGTCGGCCACTGGGATGACTTGTGGGCAGCTACAATTAGCCAATGAGCTAGCATCGTGGTTAGCAAGCTGCTAACTTGTCTACTGTAAACGGTAAAAACACAAAAGCGAACGTTATTGAATCAGATAATTACATTATCACCACAGCTTAGCGCTGCACTAAGATATCTTGTGTGCAGCAGCTCTTAGCCAATGAGCAAAACTTGCAGTTAGCAAGCTGGTTAACACTTCTAAAACTTCTTAACTACAATAATACAGTCTCTTGGCTGACTGTGTATCATGCAGTCTCTCTTTCATGTGTCTCTTTTGGGCAAGTAGGCAAGAAATGGTTAAAGGTTTGTGCTTAAACGCTGCTTAAATTAGGATTTTCTCCATTTTGAAGGTTCAGTGCAGTCATATCATTTGCACTAATGATCAAAGATGTGAATTTACATGTCAGTCTTCACTTAAGTTGATCAAAACGTAAAATTTCCCACAAAAAAAATGTGCGCCCTGGAATTTTGCTCTGCCAAAATGTGCATTGCAGCTAATTCCTTTTAAATGAGTGTAATTTCTGTAAATTAAACTCATCCCAAATGTACTGGATGGAGCTCCATCACTCCAGAAAACGCAGTTGCACTGCTCCACAGCCCAAAGCTGGGGGGCTTTATACCCCTCTAGCCCACACCTGGCATTGGGCTTGGTGGCCTTAGACTCACAGAGCGTCTCTTTCTATTGGTCAGTGCTTTTCTATTGAGATTATACAAGCTACATCAGCAAAGTGTGACCTTAAAGTAGCTCAATTGACCCATTAGGAGGACTGTGTGGACACTTTTGGACATATACTGTCCCCGTTTTTCCACTCTCTAACATTCTTTACACTGAGACTTTTCAATCGAGAAAGAGAAAGAATGAGGAGGGGACAAAGGATGAAGGAATGTTTCACTGTTAAGCGGGCGGCTTTCAGACTGGTTAATGCGAATGTGGTCAGAGGTCGAAGATCAAGGGCGCAGACAGGCCGTCTCAGTTCAGCGCGGGAGTTGTTTTCCTGGAATAACTCACAGGCTGGGCTTTCCAAGCACTATGCTGGACACTTTTCAGTCGTGGGCCATTCTGTACCGTACAGTACACATACGCATATGTGTGTGGCCTCCGCTAATGTCAGTATTGCTTTATGTTTCATGCATTCATAGACTGTTTTTTTAAGCTTTATAACTGCAGAAGAACCAGCAAGATGCTTCAGTTTGTGTGAGCACAAAGCACAAAATGTGGGCCTGCAAAATGTTTTTCCTGCTCTCAGCTCTGCAATTGATCTATCCAGGCTCCGCCCACAATTGTGGCGTTACAGAAAGTTGGTATTCAGCAAGAGGCAGATGTAAAAAATTGCACTGGCCACTTGGGCAACAAAACATGTTTGTTGTAATGCATTATATTTACAGTGAACAAGC